TGCACCACCAAACCCATTTAATTTTTATATTTTTAGTAGAGATGGGGTTTGGCCAGGCTGGTCTCAAACTCCTGAACTCAAGTGATCCACCACCCACCTTGGCTTCCCAAAGTGCTGGGATTACAGGCATGAGCCACCAAGCCCAGCCTCTAGTAACTAATTAAAACAGTGTAATAGTGGCTCAGGAAAAGACATGCTGACCAATGGAAGAGAGCAGGGAGGCCAGCAACAGAGTCATGTTATGGATGTGTCCATGGGATGTGCCGTGGATGGCATGTCAGATCAGCACAGAAGGAACCCTTCATTGGCTGGAATTGGAAAAACTGGTCATCCACAAAGAAAAAACAAAATCAAACCCCTATCTACAGCTGGGGACAGTGGCTCACACCTGTAATCCCAGTACTTTGGGAAGCCAGGGTGAGCAGATCATTTGAGCCCAGGAATTCAAGACCAGCCTGGCAACATGGTGAAATCCCATCTCTACACACACACACACACACACACACACACACACACACACACACACACACACACACACACACACACACACGGCAAGCATGGTGCTGCACCCTGTAGTCCCAGCTACTTGGGAGACTGAGGCAGGAAGATTGCTTGAGCCTGTAGGGGCAAGGCAGTAGTGAGCCCTGATCATGCCACTGTACTCCAGCCTGAGTAAGAGAGTGAAATTCTGTCTCAGAAAAAAAAGAAAGAGAAAAAAACATCCCTATCTTACACTATATGCAAAAACCAACTCCTGATGAATCAAGGTTCATCTGTCAAAAACAAAACTTAAAAATTCCTAGTATAAAATGTGGGTATCAAGTACGGGATAGAAAAGGATATTTTAAACAAAAACGTGAACTAAAAGAACTATCAATAAATTGAACCATATTAACAACTTTTGTGAATCAGGAAGACTTAAAGTGAAAAGTTACAAACTGGGAAACATGTTGTAACATTCCTTAGGTGGGCATGCCTTGTAAATGTCTTTTTGATCCAGCCATTCAGCTCTGTGTATGTCTGTGTGTCCAGCCAAGAGAATCTCTTGCCCACGTGCAACGCAAGACAGCAAAGAGAATGTTGCAACACGCTTCCAGAGATCAGAAGCCTGGAGACAGTCACAACTGTAGGTGGAGCTGTGTCTTTATTTGGAAAGAGGTCATTGTAGATGTGACTGGTTGAGAGGAGGTCACACTGGAGCAGCATGGTTCAGTTTTGTTTTTTGAGACAGGGTCTCGCTGTCACCCAGGCTGGAGTGTAGGGGTGCCATCGTGGTGGTGCTCAGGAGAAGGGAGGATGGCTTGAGCCCAGGAGATCGAGGCTGCAGTGAGCTATGGTCATGCCACGGCACTCCAGCCTGGATGGAGACACCATCTCTAATTAATCAACTGATTTCTTTTTTTTTTTTTTTTTTTTGGAGACGGAGTTTCACTCATGTTACCCAGGCTGGAGTGCAATGGCGCGATCTCGGCTCACCGCAACCTCCACCTCCTGGGTTCAGGCAATTCTCCTGCCTCAGCCTCCTGAGTAGCTGGGATTACAGGCACGTGCCACCATGCCCAGCTAACTTTTTGTAGTTTTAGTAGAGACGGGGTTTCACCATGTTGACCAGGATGGTCTCGATCTCTTGACCTCGTGATCCACCCGCCTCGGCCTCCCAAAGTGCTGGGATTACAGGCTTGAGCCACCGCGCCCGGCCAATCAACTGATTCCTAATGTATTCTCATATTCGGGCCTACTGGGAGCTGGACCATTATGTGCTTTTTATTTTTGCAATTTAAGCTTTCAGTTTCCCCTTGTTATGACATTTTCCTTTGGTTAACACTATTTTTCCCTATAATTTGTTCCTATAGTCCAAATCCAACATCACCAATCAATATTTTCTGAGCTCCAAATTGGAGCATCACAGAAAACGAGTATGTGAGAAGGGGAGGATACACTGCACCTGCACGTCTCTGAAAACATAAGTGGGTTTTTTAATATAAATTTTTTTTTACTTCTAAAAAATTAGAGATGGGTCTCAAACTCCTGGGTTCAAGTGGTCCTCCTGCCTCAGCCTCCCAAAATGCTGGGATTACAGGCATGAGCCACTGGGCCTGGCCATAAATGTGAATGTACAGCATAAGCAGCATGAAGGGAGCCATGTAATAAAATGTGGAATTCAGCATGTGCTCTGCCTCTTCCACCATGTCCAATGCTGGGAATGCAAAGCGGAAGCTCACATGGTGAAAATCAACACACACGCAGACACACACACACACGCACACACAAAGACTTGCACAGACACACGGACACACACACACAGAGACAGGCACAGAGGCACACGGACACACACAGCCATACCCAGAGACACAGACACACACAGATACACAGAGAGAAACAGAGACACATGCACAGAGACACACCAAGATACACACAGACACACACACACACAGACGTGCACACACAGACACACACAAACCCAGAAACATACACTGATGCAGACATACACACACAGACATGCAGAGACTGACACACCCAGACACACACACTGACACACACACACACTGAGACACACACACAGAGACACACACACACACACAGCCATACCGATACACACACACACACACACACACACACACACACACACACACACACCGAGAGTCTATTTTTAAAAATGTTTGGTTTTCTATCAGAAATTTATAAAGCAGGGCACACCCTCAGAAGTTTAAAGTAACAAACGTGGCCAGCACAGTGGCTCATGTCTGTAATCTCAGCACTTTGGGAGGCTGAGGTAGGAGGATTGCTTCAGCTCAGGAGTTCAAGACCAGTATGGGCAACATGGTGAAACCCCCGTCTCTACAAAAAAATTTAAAGTTATCTGGGTGTGGTGGCGCACACCTGTAGTCCCAGCTACTCGAGAGGCTGAGGATGGAGGTTCGCTTGAGGCTGGGAGGTTGAGGCTGCAGTGAACCAAGATCCTGCCGCTGCACCCCAGCCTGGGTGACATAGACTCCGACTCAAAAAAAAAAAAAAAAAAACAACAGCTTGAGAAGCGCATGGAAGAAAAAGAATGGGGATGTCACATTTGGAAATAAACCTCCCTGCAAGAGTTAAACCCACTCTGCAAGCGGCACGCAGACAAGTGGGACGAGACAGAAACGCCATCCGACAAGAACCACAGAGGCTGTCACAGTAAGCGACGGCCCGGCCGCGCTCTGCATCACTGGGTAATTATGAAAAGCGCTGTAAAACTCACTGACACAGAAAAGCCCGTGATAAAAAGTGAAGCATGGTTACGAAAGAGCGTTACAGTATAATCCCCCTCTTAGAAAACATTTGAAAGGATATATGACAAAACGTCAACAAGTTACCTCTAGTGGGGGGACGTGTGGCGACCGTGTCTTTTAATTACTCAAAATTCCCACACTTCTAATACACAGCATGTGTGACTTCTTCATTTGGTGGGGAAAAGGTCAGACATCGGGAGAGAGGAAGCAAAAACAAGTGCTCTCCCCCAGACCTACGGCACTGCCCACCTGGCTCTCCTGCCCGCTGGTGTCTGAGCTGTGCTTCCCAGCCACATGGTTCCCATCCTTCACGCCTGGGCGGCAGCTGCTGCACAACCACCTGCTTGACCCTGACAGCAGGTATCAGTGGCTTTAGGCACTGCAGCTCACACCTCATGCTTACTTACTGAAGCCCCTGAATCCTCTTCTCTTGCCTCGTTAAGAGCCCACCAGCATGGGTGGAGCTGGCGCCTGACATTCGCAGTGGCTGCTCACTCAACGGATGAGTCCGCCGAGGGGCTGGATGACGAGGCTTTGTGGTGGCCACAGGGCGACCCTCCCTGTCTTGTTCTCTCCTCTCCACCTACCTCCATCAATCCCACCCCATTTCTAGCCCCCAAGTTCTCTTGCTTGAGGTTCCCACAGAACATTTAATAAACACTGGGGACACGAGAGCAGAGACAGGGCCCTTGGCTTCATAGCAATTTGACTAGGCAAGCAAAGTTACAACTGCAGATTTGCCATGCTGACTAGGGCAGAGGGAAGTCTGTGACATCTCCAGTCAGACATCTGCTCACCTAAGGTAAAAAAAACCAGTGAGTGAAGTCTAAAGAAGCTAAAGCATTCACTGGTAGGACTGTCTTCAGGAAGGGGAAGTGTTCTGAAAAGCAGCATGCACACAGGTGTCTCATCTCCGGGTGCACGTGACCAGAGCATACAAGGCCTGGTAGCAAACGTGGAGCAGGGGAGACACATCAGATTTGAACAGGACTCTGATCCCTTAACTAAAGGCAAGTGGTTAGGTGCAGTTTCCCTCCCCTCCATGCCCTCAGCTTGAAGGGTAAAGGGACTGCGGGGAGTTAGGATGGGTGCTGTCCTAGACAGGGAGGGCTTAAGTCTCATATTATCTTGCTGGGCAGGATACCCACAGCCCCAACGTGGCAGAACATTGTACACGATGTCTGACAGATTGCTGGCAAGAAAAGCTGAATTCCTCCCTCGTTCCATTTGCTCAGCAGGTAACTTTTGTGTTCCTGGTGTTTTGCAAAAGAAACCAGAAATTCTCTGTCCTTGAGTTCCTCCAGGTGAAGTTAGCCAGGAAACCAGTCCTCTTTGGAGGCTGTTTTAGTCTCATCTTTTCTAGACATTTTATGATTGATGATTTAAAAAACCCCATCCTAGTTTTTCAAAAACTGGCTCTCACAAATTGAAACTGCTCTCCAACACTTTACCACTACCAGTTTACCGATTTCACATTATATACAGACAAGACCCCTGCATTAACTGCTTTTCCTTTGTGACTCTGCTAACAAGCTGTTACTAGTATACAGTAACCTTGTATAAAGCTTCTAAGCCCTCCGTTAAGACACCAGACTTCAAAAAATGAAGAGCAGACTTTTCCCATTTGTACAATCCAGATAGAATTGACCCCCTCCCCTCCCTACCCACAAAAGATAATAATCTCTGCTAACCATTCACGATTTCCTAAAGCAATACTAGAGATTCAGAAAATCCAGGCAAAGTAGAAGCAATATATTTTGCAACAATTATTCTTCCAATAAATGACTTGTAAATCTCTCCCACACCATGTTAGACAGGTAAGTAACATCACTTCCAAATTTCAACTGTTACATAGAAGATCCAGAATGTCAACACCACTTGCATTCTACACAAGGTTACAAACAACACATATACCTTAAGTTCAAAATATCTGAATGAAAGGTTTCATCCCAATCACGGGAAAAAACTTCCCATCTCACACAGGCTGGTTAGAAGCTGGTTCTGAATACAGTGTCACACAGCAATTCAGATCTTAAGACACTCGAGGACTGTTGCCAGTTAATACAGTTAAATAGAACTTTATTCAGCTTCACCTTTTTCATTTTTCCACATATTTAAGTGATCCTTTCTACACCTTTTAAGGTAGGAAAGCAATCATCTCCAGATAATCAGACATCTAAAGAAAACTTTGGTAAACTGGACTATTAGTAGTTAACTGTATGAGGAAAAAATAGCTCCTATTTTTAAGATTCCTAACTGCTACAAGAATAGCGTTGATGGGATCGAACTCCTAATTAGGATAAAGACCTAATTCATTTTTAAATGTGGAAAATATACAAGATAAATTAAATGTTTAGTCTGATAAAAAAGTTTCACAAGCTGTTCTCTGTTACTGAGAAGCCCCCCCACCCGCCCCGCCACTGCGCCACTGCACCACGTTCCTAGTATTTCATCCATGTCCTGCTACGCTGCGCTGCCCTACAAATCCTCAGGGCAAAAAAAAAAAAAAACCCAAACAGTATAGTGTGTACTGCTTAAAAACTTAATGTTAAGACATCTTGAAAGTCCGGGAGTACCTGAAAACTGGGTAAACATGGACCATTTTCCTTGAGTATCAACTTTACACTAAGCATCTGACATTCAAACAGAAAAGTGCAAAATTTAGATTTTTTAACACCAAGAATTCCCAAGCTCCCGCCATCCAGACATTCCATCCTGTTTGAAGTTATCAAAACATTACTTTTGCCATAAAACAAAACCAAGTATTACTCTTAAAATATCTATTTGGTATGTACAAACCACATTTTTGTTGACAGGTCACAAATCTTGAGCAGGTTCTTCCCAAGATGACCCTACCTAGCCAAAATGAAGGTGGAACAGACATTGCTTTAGTTTAACTGCACTAATATTTACACCATTTAACTCTTCTAACCAAATAGTCTGTTGACCTGTCATGCTGAATTTGTTAAGACACAGCTCAAATGTACAAAAATAAAAAGTAGACATAGGGAGAAATTAACCTAATAGATTTCAAATTAAGTGACAGCAAGGCAATCCAAACATTAACATGGCATAAATTTCTCTATTTTAGTGGTTTCAAAATGCTACTTTTAAACAAGGGATGAGTTCACTTGGTTAGATATTTGAAATACAACTTTATTCTGATTCTAAACGAAAAGGAATGGGAATGACAGTAACAAACAAGATTTCACCACTGAATATTGTGATGTGACTGCAGCAGTCTCATATCTGAAACTCAAGGAATCAACTGCGTTCCAAACAGCTAAATATGCAGGTCCAAACAATGAAGGTATATTTTAAACTGCCACATTCACTCCGAAGCCCACTCATCTCCTTCAGCATCCCACAGATGAAGCACATGTTCCGCTTAGCTAGATAATAATGAGGTGGCACACACGCTGCACCGCTGACATCACAGGACAGCTGCCTATAAAACTAGACTTCTGACGCTGGGCTCCTGCTTCATTCTCACAGGTCATCATCCTCATCCGGGAGAGCAGTTGTTTGAGCAACCTAGATGAAGAGAGCAAAACTGTTAACACTCCAGATCAAAACTGCCAGGAATAAACAAGCCAAACAGAACAGCCTGGACAGCAAAGCGGCCACAATACCTCTAAGTCGTGCTCATACTGCGCTGCCAAAGCTGGGTCCATGACAACCTCTGGCGGGGCAAGAGCAGGCATGGCAACAAATTCCAAATTAGGGTCTCCAATGAGCTTCCTAGCAAGCCAGAGGAAGGGCTTTTCAAAGTTGTAGTTACTTTTGGCAGAAATGTCGTAGTACTGTTTAAAAAAGTAAAAATTAGTTTTTAAAATTGATTTTCCTAGAACATTCCAAGATAAGAAAAAGCTTCTTGGTGGGGCATGGTAGTGCATGCCTGTAATCCCAGCACTTTGGGGGGATGAGGTGGGAGGATTGCCTGAGGCCAGGAGTACAAGATCAGGCCTGGATAAAAGAGCAAGACCCCATCTCTACAAAAAATAAATTAGGTGGGTGTGGTGGTGAGTGCCTGTGGTCCCAGCTACTCAGAAGCCTGAGGTGGGAGGACTGCCTGAGCCAGGAGTTCAAGGCTGCAGTAAGCTATGTTCATGCCACTGCACTCCTGCCTGGGCAACAGGGCAAGACCCTGTCTCAAACAACAAAAGACACACACACTTCAGTTGACCAACCCTGACAACAGTGAAACCCCATCTCTATCAGTCTTTAAAAACAATAAAAATAGTATAAAGATAAAATTATTTCCATATATAATATACACTCTGGTCAATTTCATGGTCTTACATATCGTCTCCCCTAAGAGAAATAACTCAGAAGTTTTCATTTTCACACACCTGAAGATTCTTCTTTCGGTGGAAGACAATGGATTTTGCCTTCACTTTCCTGTCCTTAATGTCCACTTTGTTGCCACACAACACAATGGGGATGTTCTCACACACTCGCACCAGATCTCTATGCCAGTTAGGCACATTCTTGTAAGTAACTCTGGATGTTACATCAAACATTATGATGGCACACTGGGCTGAAAGGAACATATGTGGTAATTAGTACACTTAGTTTACTACACCAGTGAAGAACGCTAAGAACCAGTCTAGGATTCAACTAGTTACAGTCTTAGACCTGAGTCTCCTAGCTCTCTTCCTTCACTTTCAATTCTAAAAATGTTAATTCACAATTCTTCCTAAGCAAGATGAGCTGACCCTGTCAAACCTCCCTGATATACTTCATCATAAACAGTACTCTCATCCCAAAAAGTATCTCAAGTAGATTAATGATAAGTGAGATTCTGGAGAACCGAGCTGCCATATTCTGAGGGTAGAGCCTGGAAATACATTCTTCAGAAGGTCTTTAAATGGCATAGCTGACTACACCAGGAAATATTCCTGTCTTAAATCCAGACAGGCCAAGCAATGTGGCTCATGCCTGTAATCCCAGCACTTTGAGAGGCCGAGGTGGGTGGATCACCTGAGCTCATGAGTTCGAGACCAGCATGGGCAACATGATGAATCCCCATTTCTACAAAAAAAAAAAAAAAAAAAAAAAAATTGGTCAGGCACAATGGCCTGTGCCTGTAGTCCCAGCTACTCCAGAGGCTGAAGTGGGAGGATGGCTTGGCTCAGGAGGCAGAAGCTGTAGTGAACTGAGATCACACCACTGGGCCACATAGAGAGACCCTGTCTCAAAAAATAACAAACCCAAATAAAGTCTATATATTCACCTGCAGGGACAGCTATGGTATAGCTGAAAAGGCAAGAAACCGCAACTTTTTGGTTAAAGAATTTTTTGGGGAAAATTCTTGTGTTTATTCGTACATGCTAAAGGAAAACAAAAGGCATGGAATGATTCCAAATAATGTGTTATCAGCAAAGTGAGGTTCCAGGAGAGATGAGTATTTCCTTTACTCCTCTTTTTGGTATAATGAACGTTTTCCTTGCAATTTTTAAAAGTCAATCTATTTGAAAAAATACTCTCCGCAACTTAGTACAAACAATTTAACAAGAAATCAGCTAGTCTTGCATAACACTTGCTAAGATCCCTATCTTCTCTGGTCTAGTGTCTCGTGTTTTTTAATGGAGTAGAAGCAATCATTGATCACTACGCCAAAATACATACATGAACCTGTTTTCGTATACTGAACTGCTGTAACAGCCTGTTATTGTTTTAAACTATGACATGTACACAGGGTAAGTCATAGATTTTTCTAAACCATGCCTAGCATGACACAGCATGCAAATGACACAACTTTCATAAAATTTTCTCCTCTGCCACCAAAATGGTGGTCAACTCCCTGAAGCTCACGTTTTTTAACCCAAAAATGACACAATTCCCATTACAGTATTAAGCACTGTTTATTGGAACAGACCTGATTTTCTATAACCTTGAAGACTGAAGTACACAAAACCTCTCAAAAACGGTTCATCAAGTTAGAAATGCTTACCTTGGATATAATAGCCATCTCTCAGTCCACCGAATTTCTCCTGGCCGGCCGTGTCCCACACATTGAACTTAATGGGTCCTCTGTTAGTGTGGAACACTAGGGGATGAACCTCAACACCCAAGGTGGCTGAAACGGAAACGATGCCATTGAGTGGACGCATTTACCCACTTCTCACCATGTCCACAGACAAGGTTTTCCCGCACATACCTACATACTTCTTCTCAAATTCACCAGTCAAATGACGTTTCACAAAGGTCGTTTTTCCGGTACCACCATCACCAACCAACACAAGCTGTTGGAGAACACACTTTGGAAGTAAACCCCAAACACTTCCCCTCGCAAGACCCCAGAGTCACGGAACCGTAACCGCCACCACTTAAAACAAAGAATGTGGATGCGGGGCCCGCTAAGCCATCGTGGGCCCGGGAGGAGGGACCCGCGAGGCGCACGCGGTCCGGCCCGGCCGCCTCCCGCCCTGCAGGGTTACCTACTTTAAACTGGACCTGGGGCTCTCCCTGCGCAGCCATCGCGGCGTTCCTGCGGAGGCAGAGGACGGAGACGAGCGCTCGCGCGGCCCCGCAGCCCATCGCGGCCCCGCTCCCGCGCCCCCCGCGCCCCACGTGCCCGCCCCACAAAGGCCTCCCGCCCGCGGCGCCATGGCGGCCGGGCCTGGGAGCGGGAAGGCGGCGGGCGGGGCCGGCATCCGGGTCGGCGGGACCCGAGAAACGACGGACGGAGGGGTCGGGATGGAGACGAGACCGGGACCGGGACCGGGATGGGAGCGGAGGATGAAACCGGGGTTCGCGGGGGCGGGCGCCGACCCCACGCCCGTCTCTTGCCCCGGCCCGGCCGGGCCCGCGCCACCCACCTACTCACAGCCGCTCGCTGCCCCGGGGCCGGCCACCAGCCCGGGCCCTGACCCCGGCCACGGCCCCTGTCCCGCCGCCGCGGCCCCCGTCCCCACCCGGCGCTGCCCGGCCAGCCGCGTCGCTACCTTCCAGAAGCGTCTCCGCGCCCGTCCGACTGAGGCTGGAAAGATGGCGGAAGCGCAATTCAAACGCCGGAGACGCAGCCGACGCCGGCGCGCGGGCAGGGGCGGGGCCGGCGCGGGGCGGGGCTGACAAGGGGCGGGGGCAACGGCGCGGCGCCCGCCCACGTGGCCCGCGCGTGCGCGCACGCACGCAACCCGGCTCGGTTGGCCGCTCCCGCGGTCCCAGAGCATAGGGTGGGGCAGTAGGAGCGGTGGACCGCGTGGGAGGGCAAGGCGGGAGCGCGCACGCGCGCCGACCCGCGGGTCCCACGTGCGCCGACACCCAGGGCGGGCTCCCGGGCGCGCATGCGCCAACCGTGAGGCGGCGCGCTCGTGGACCGGAGATGCTGGGCGCGGCCGGACAAGCGCGGCTCTGCGGCCTCCCCGGCGGGAGGCGGGATTCGCTCGGGCAGACGCGGTCAGGCACGCGGCTTCCAGGCGCTGGCCAGCCTGTTGTTTTTCTGCGCCCCGTGGGGTGAGGGTACTTAGAGTCCCGGGGCGTAGGGTGAGCGCAGGACGGGTAGGTGACAGAATGAATGAATGAATGAATGAATGGGTCCTAGGCCGGGGTCAGCCCGCGCCTCTGTCTCCCCAGAGCTTAGCTTTCACGCCCCCAGGCCCAGGGGCAGTTGGAGAGCGAGGCATCAGAGAGGGATGCGCCCAGCCAGGAAAACAGGTACTTATCTCCCTTGAGACGCAGTCCCGCTGTATTGCCCAGGCTGGTCTCGAACTGCCAGGCTCACACAATCTTCCTGTCTCGGCCTCCTACAGGCGCACACTACATCCGGGCTAATTTTGTTTTTTAATTTGTCACATAGGATCTCACAGTGTCTCCCAGTCTGGCCTCAAGGGATCCGCCCTCTTCAGCGTCCTAAAGCGCTGGGATTGCAGATGCAGTCACCGTGCCCGGCCATAGCACCCCTTCTCGCAGCGTTTCACAGGTCGGCAGCCATGGCGGCCGCGTCCTGCAAACGAAATGATGAAATTTTGTTTGCAATATGGGCGGGTCTTCCAGCGCTAGCTACCATCGGGGGCGGAATGAGGAAGTGCTCGGGCTCCCAGCCCCCTGTGGGGCTGAAGCTGTGAAGAGCTCAGGCCAGGTTGAGCTAGAGGGACCCACAGGGCCTTCCTGGGCGCCTCTGCCGACATGCAGGCAGATAAAGGCCCAAATCAGCGCAGTCAAGCGCCTCAGAAAAGAGATCCCCGTGGGGAAAGAGCCCCAGGGACCGAGGGGTCCGCCCTGCAGTCACGAGCACATTTGGCGAGTCCAGTGGGAACCCCAGTGACGCAAACTACACAAGGCGGGCGAGAACCGGCCTGCTGGAAACCCAAGTCCGATCTCCCCCAGGACCCTCAGGGGAGCGCCAACCACCTCTCAGACGCTGCTGGTGGGAGAGCAGAATCTAACAGCAAAACGGGAATGCCCATTGCTTGTGACCCTGGATTTCCGTTTCTCGGGAGAGGCCCTGAGGTGAAACTTATGCCTCCTGCATGTGCACAACATTTAATGCTGTAGAACATTGAAAAGGGAAGATGGTCATCTGTCTGAACAGGTTAGATAGATGTCAAAAGGATAATGTTGAGAAAAGTGATAATCGCTTTATAAAGCCTCGGCCACCTGTAATCTCAGCGCTCTGGGAGCCCGAGGTAGGAGAGCCCTCAAACCCAGAAGTTCCAGGCTGCGGTGAGCAATGACCGCACCATTGCATTCCAGCCTGGGAGACGGACCAAGACCCTGTCTTCAAATATGAATACATAGGCCAGTCGCGGTGGCTCACGCCTGTAATCCCAGCACTTTGGGAGGCCGGGGTGGGCGGATCACATGACGTCACGAGTTCGAGACTAGTCTGGCTAACATGGTGAAACCCCGTTTTTACTAAAAATACAAAAAATTAGCCAGGCGTGGTGGCATGCGCCTGTAATCCCAGCTACTTGGGAGGCTGAGGCAGGAGAATGGCTTGAACCTGGGAGGCGGAGAATGGGCTGAGATTGCACCATTGCACTCCAGTTTGGGCAACAAGAGCGAAACTGTCTCAAAAAAAAAAAAAAAATCAATATGTAAAGCCTAACACTATATGTAATTTTACCTAGAGGGAATATATATATACACACATTATATTTATAGCATAATGCCATTTATATAATATTTTTACAAATACACATAGAACAAAAGCATATTGGTCATTTTTAAAAAAGCATTTTTTTTAATTGACTGCGAGGATCTATACACTGTATCCTGATTGTTATTCCTTCAAGAAAGGGTAGAAAGGAGTGTGATGGAACTGAGCAGAGGAGTCAAACAAGACTTTACCTACAATGTTCTATTTTTTTCTTCTTTTTTTGAGACAGAGTCTCTCTTTGTTGGTCAGGCTGGAGTGCAGGGGTGCGATCTGGGCTCCCCACAACCTCCACCTCCCAGGTTCAAGCGATTCTCCTGCCTCAGCTTCCTGAGTAGCTGGGATTACCGGCCTGCACCACCATGCCCGGCTATTTATTTATTTTGTTTATTTTTTGTATTTTTAGTAGAGACGGGGTTTTATTATGTTGGGACAGGCAATCGAGTGGTCACTTTGGCAGCACGTATACCAAAATTGGAATGATACAGAGGAGAATAGCATGGCCCCTGCACAAGGATGACAATTTTGTTTTTTGAGATGGTGTCTTGCTCTCGTCACCCAGGCTGGAGTACAGTGGCGCAGTCTTGGCTTACTGCAACCTCTGCCTCCCGGGTTCAAGCGATTATTCTGCCTCAGCCTCCTGAGTAGCTGGGACTACAGGCAACCGCCACCACACCCGGCTAATTTTTGTATTTTTAGTAGAGATGGGTTTTCACCATGTTGGCCAGGCTGGTCTTGAACTTGTAACCTCAGGTGATCTACTCGCCTCAGCCTCCCAAAGTGCTGGAATTACAGGCGTGAGCCACCGTGCCTGACCTTGCAGAGTATTTTATAGGCCAGGTATTTTGTACCCTGTCTTTTCATTTGTATTTCTCTTATGCTTCCTCATCATTAGATACAGCTCATGCAGTTTGGGTAGAGAAACCACAAAATGATGTTGTGTCCTTCTTAGTGTCTGATCAGGAGGCACAGAGTGGATCTGTTTGTTTTTTAGCGACAGGGTATTTCTCTGTCACCCTGATTGGAGTGCAGTGCTGTGAGCATGGCTCACTGCAGCCTAGAACTCCTGGGGTCAAGTGATCCTCCCACTTCAGCCCCCCAACAACCCCCCAAGTAGCTGGGACTACAGGCACGCACCACCACACCCAGAATTTTTTTTACTTTTTTGTAGAGCTGGGGTCTTGCTATATTGCCCAGTCTTGTCGCAAACTTCTGGCCACAATTTTCCTGCCTTAGCTTCCCAAAGTTTTGAGATAACAGGCTTGGTCCAGGCCCAGAGTGAGCCTTTAAAACCGTATCAGATCATCCTCCTCCACCTTAAAACCCTGCAGTCATTTCCTGTTTGTCTCACTTAGATCCGTGAAATCTAGCCAGGGAGGTCCCATGGGCTCTAGCTCATTTCTACCTCTCCTACCTCGGCTCCTGCCTCTCCCTGTAGCCTCACAAGCATTGCCATATCTTACACCAGCCAAATTTGTTCCTGCCACAGGACCTTTGCACTTACTGGTTAATTCTCTTCCTTTGGCCAGGTGCAGTGGCTCACGCCTGTAATGCCAGCACTGGGAGGCTGAGGTGGATGGATCACTTGAGGTTCGAAGTGCAAGACCAGCCTGGCCAATGTGCTGAAACCCCATCTCTACTATAAATACAAAAATTAGCCTGGCATGGTGGCATGCATCTGTAATCCCAGCTACTTGGGAGGCTGAGGCAGGAGGATCACTTCAGCCTGGGAGGTGGAGGCTGCAGTGAGCCATGATTGTGCCACCGCCAGCCTGGGCAACTGAACAAGACCCTGCCTCAAATAAACAAACAAAATGCTGTTCCCCACACATCTTGGCCTGACGGGCACCTTCTCACGCTTCAGGCCCCTGACCACCCCCAGGCCTCTGCCACCTCAGCACCCATTTTATTTTCTTCAGAGCACTTATTGAGAACATATTGCTTAATTGTTTACATGCTTGTTTTTAAATCTTTCATTCCTTCACTAAAATAAGTGACATACCATGTCATGATATTCAAAGTATCTAGCACAGTGCCTGTCACATAATGTATGCTTAAAAAATATTTATTGAAATATTGAATGAATTACTTTTTCTGTTGTGTTTTTGGTTTTCAGAGGCACAGTCTTGCAATGTTGCCTGGGCTGGAGTACAGTGGCATGATCATAGCTCACTGCAGCCTCCAACTCCTGGCCTCAAATGAACCTCTTGTCTTAGCCTCCCAAGTAGCTTGGATTACGTGTGTGTGTGCCTCCTGGGTGAATTACTCCTGACCCTTCTACGCGCAGGAAGGGGAATTCGACACAGCAGCGTTCTATTCTAATAATAAACATGCAGGCCTATTGAATGTTAATAATGGTACCTCATGGCAAAGACTAATCTTTGCACGCACTGTACTCCGGCCTGGGTAACAGAGCGTGACCCTGACTCACAAAATTTTTTTTTAATTTAAAAATAAGGGCTGGGTGCAGTGGCTTATGCCTGTAAACCCAGCACTTTGGGAGGCCGAGGTGAGGGGATCACTTGAATCGAGAAGTTCAAGAGTGGCTTGGGCAACATAGTGAGGCCCCATCTGTATATTTTTTTAAGTTTCTAATAAAATTTTTAAATAAAATTGTTTATAATCTTTTTAACTTTTATTTTTTAGATGGAGTCTCACTCTGTCACCCAGGCTGGAATACAGTGGCACAATCTCGGCTCACTGCAACCTCCGCCCCCTGGGTTCAAGCGATTCTCCTGCCTCAGCCTCCAGAGTATCTGGGATTACAGGCACGCATCACCATGCCTGGCTAATTTTTGTATTTTTAGTAGAGATGGGTTTTCGCCATGTTGGCCAGTCTGGTCTTGAACTCCTGACCTTGGGTGACCCGCCCACCTCGGCCTCCCAAAGTGCTGGGATTACAGGCATGAGCCACCATGCCCAGCCTGTAGTATTTTTTTAATTTAAAAAAAGTGAAAAAAAAAATATTTTTAAAACAAAAAAAATAAAGATGAGAACAGTGCTGAGTGTACTCTTCGGTGGCCCATACTAAACAGAATCTTCTAGGCTGTTGTCTGACCTGTGCTGAATGGGTCACAACATGATTTATATCTGAGCTCACTGACAGCATTTTAAGATTTGATGGTTTTATGTCTAGCAATTCTTTGATCCCTCTCCATTGAAAAGGTTGATTCCAATGAATGTCTCCTTGTGTGTGAGCTGGACTTGGCGACTTATTTCTAACAAGCGG